TCCACCACCTCTTGGAGCTGCTCGATCTGGTCAAGTTTGTTTTGAACCTGCGGGTTCGATTCGCTAGCCACTATGTCTGAATGATCGTCACTAACTTCAAATACTCATCTTACCTACTCGACCAGGTTAGCATGCTCCTTTCGAGCAGCTTCTAGCTCAGCCTGGAGTTTCTCACTAAGAAGCTTGTAAGTGTCCCTCTTTCCAGTAAGCTCCTGAGTCTTGGCCTCATGTTGGTTTAACTCTTCCCAATATCAGAGAAAAGTTTTGTGATGAAGCACCGAGGCTTGCAAACATGAAGAGAGATGTTACGATTATTTGCGACTTAAATCTAAGTACATAATAAAGAGTCATTCGAAGTTACCCGATTTAACGCATGTTGAGCTTCGTTGAATAGGTAGGCGCTTACACCTCGTCCATCTTGGCCTGGTCCTCTTAGGTCACCAACCACCGAAGATAGTTGGAAACATCCACTGGGCGAAGAGAACCCGGGCATACTCCAGGATAGACATAATGATTGACCACCACAGATCAAGATCTGCACTTGGAGCTGAGAACCGGTCCACTAATCTCGGACTTGAAGAAGATCCACTGGCTCCTGAAGATGATACCTTCTTTGGTACAAATAAGTCACCCAGTCCGGTGACATCCTCCGAGGCGGTAGAATCCAAGCCATCGAAGAAGTTATTGAAAGAATTTGCCACCCCTTTAGGCCCCTCATTTGAGTGGGCCTCGTTGATCATGGAGTCGGTAAATAGAGGCGACCCGGAGAGATCTATCACCCCAAGTGCATCCTTCAGTGAAATGTCATCTGCTCGAGGAGTACCGGCCGTGGTCTCCTTGTCAACCTCCCCAGCTCGGGACAAAATGGCCTCGTCCGTCCCTGGTTCAGAGGTTTTGGCCACTGCCTTTTCGTCGACCACCCTGGACTATTCAATGACCCCAATGGGACCTCCCGAGCATTGGTACTTTGCTTGGATTTACACACCAGCCTCCTTTTTAGTTTTTTCTTATTGGGGCCCTTCTTCTTTTCTTCTCTTTATCCTGCCTCGGAGAAAATGGTTCGTGGAGGATGTCTTCATCACCGGATGGAGGCCTCATTTCAACATATTTGGGAAGACCTGCAAAGGAAGAAAAAGTGAGAAGCAACATGACAAGAAAACTAAGTGTTATTCATTCAACAGAGGAATCTCACCGTAGGAACGGGCCTCCCACCGGCCTTTCAAAAGTTCGTGCCACGACCGCTTGGAATAGGGCTTTTGTGACATGATGCCCTAGAGCCACTGCAACAGCTGCACCATGAAACATCGATAAGAAGGGAGAAAGAGGAAAAGTAATAAACGAAATCTTAAAGGCAAGGTTATACTTACGTTTTATGCTCCATTTCTCGGGAAATGGCATGTCCTCTACCGGGATTATATCTGAGGTCTTCACTCAAATGAATCGGCCCAACCAACCTCGGTCCCGATCCTCATCTATGCTCGAGAATGGGGCCTTACTGGCCCGACGGGCAAGTTTTATTAATCCCTCTCTATAGAGTCAGGGACTTTACAGATGCATGAGGTGATCAATGGTGAAGGGACACTACTCAATTTTTCTTACGAAGAAGTGGAGGAGAATTACTATCCTCCATAAAGTGGGATGAATTTGACCGAGGGTCACCTTGTACCTTACAAAAGACTATGATGACCGGGTCCAAGAGGCCTAACATGAAGGGATAGAGTAAACACTTAAAAAACTCTCCACGTGGGTAGTAATTGCTTCCTCGGGCATAGGCACCACCACGTGCTTATCAACCCAGTTGTAATCCTCCTTGACCTTGGAGAGGAGACTGTCGGTGATCGAGCATATATATATCGATATCGGCTCGCACTGACCCAGTACCGAAGGGATTTTCTCGAAGGGATCCAGTGTCATTTCCTCAGTAGCAGCAGACAAAAAATTTTCCTCTTCAGCCGGTCGCGAGGCAGATGGAGTTTAATTTTGAAGAACTGACTTTGTGGTCTTCGCCATTTTTTTTGGAAAGTTAAGGGAAAAGGGAATTTAAAAGGATATGCTTGATAATTTGGGATAAAGAACATAAGTTCTTATAAAGTGATTTTAGAGTAATCAAAAAATTGATGTTTTGGAGTATACAAATTTCTAAGGTACGAGGGCAAAAGTTTTGGAAGTAAAGATTGAATACGATAATGATGGGTATTTGTAGTTTCTCGACGATTGTTCATATCTGGGAGTGGCCGACCGGCAACTGACAGTCATTTAATGCCATTAAGACTTGACTGATGAGACGTTTTGGCTGTTTTGTCGTTCTGTCGCAAACAATCGAGATCCGGATCGGAAGTTCATGTCATTTATCGTCGTCTACTCTCCTAAAAATGAGGGGACTACCTGTATACGGTCGAAGTCGAGCTCGATTACAACTTGGTAGATTTGACTTAAAATTTGGCGATCACGGACTGTAGATTGACCTCGAGTCTCACCGAGCTAGAACTTTAGGTCGAAAGACCTGCCTTCGAGGAATGTTGAGTCCGGTATCGACCTTAGCGTTGAGCGACCTCGAAGATATCAAATGGAAGACAGAAATATCCACGACCTACCGGATATTGCGGCAAGAATCTCGGCGCATATCGCCAAGGAACCGGCAATTAGCAAATCTAGTTATTTTTTTACCTTTTATGGAAATGTACCTAGAGTAGGACTCTTCTACTATATCAATGGGGGTCTGATAATTCACTAGACATATTGTAACACGCATCCCAAAGCAATATATTATTTTTAGTTCCCATAACTAGAAATGCTACTTAGATGTTTAAGAGTCTTGAAATATTGACGTTTGAACAAAACAGATCCCTATAGTTTCAAGGGTAAGAACTATGAACTCAAAAATTAACAAAACTAAATTAACAGGACAAGCCGTCAAGAACTATTCATGCTTATCAACTATCATGGTTATTGGTATAATACAACACTACTTCTGCTTCATCAGAAATTACAGGTTAAGATGTATGTGATTATCAAGACAGACCACACTACGGGTTGGCTTGAAGCTAGAACGATAGAGGTACAAAGCTAGAAGACTTTCAAACTGAGGAGCTACCCCTCTTTTCAGTCTAGATCTTGCAAGTTACATTGATTACAAGCAACAACAGATCCAGGATTTGAAGTTAGATGGTTAAATTGTCTACTAAAATTTACAATAATCTCAACCCAATATTACGTGAAAAATCATCGAAATATATTATATGAACACGTGTGTATTTGTGTTTGTATATATATATATACACATTAAAAATCATCAAAATATATTATATGAACACATGTGTACGTGTGTGTGTGTGTGTGTATATACATATTTGTATATATAGCCAATATTACGTGAAAAATCATCGAAATATATTATATGAACACATGTCTACATGTTTGTGTGTGTATATATATATGTATGTACTATACACATATATGTATATGTATACGTACCGTCAAGACCCAAAACCCAATGAGTCGTGATGGCACCTAACATACTTGGAAGGCAAGCCAGACATAACAATAATAAACCATAATAGCAGAAAAGACAAATATAACATGAGTCTGAAACCTTAATAAAGCACAATACCGCTAATATATGATAATTCCTCGAGAAATTGGTGAATACCGAGTCATGAGCTCTACAACAGAATACAAGTATGAAACCTAAATAACAATACTGTACGAACTAAAAATAACAGTACATACTCATCTCAAAAAGCAATTCTACTACTGCTGACTGGTCCCAACATCTAGATCTGCACAATTAATTGCAGAGTGTAGCATGAGTACAACCGGCCCAATGTACTCACCAAGTATCATAACTAACCCCGGCAAGGTAAAGAAGCACGAATTATTATTGATACTTGTTATAACCTGTGGATGATGTATAAGCAGAATGTTCTCTCTCTCTCTCTCTCTCTCTCTCTCTCTCTCTCTCTCTCTCTCTCTCTTCATAAANTTGCTATAACCTGTGGATGATGTATAAACAGAATGCACTCTCTCTCTCTCTTCATAAAAAGACTAACACCGTCTGCCATCGCCATCACTTCCATCTTCCACCATCACTGCAAGCAGCACAGGTAAGGCCTCTAACCTCCATCTATCCACTCTTCTTTCCTTCGTCTCCGACCTTCTCTTTTTCTTTCTCTCTTTCTATTCTTCCCCCTTCTTCCAATCATCTTCTTCTATTCTCTCTCCGGCAACTGGTCGGAGTGCATAATGCATTGCTCTCTCTCTCTCACTCTCTTTTCCCTTCCTTTCGCATCCTACGTATGTGTAGGGACACATCAGCGGACCCCATTGAAATCAGCCAACCTTCTAGCGAAGATCCAGCCACACGCCAGTGCAATTGCCGTCATCCAGCCGGTTTTCCGATGTGTTCTTCTCCCCCCCCAAGAATCAAGGCTCAAGAATGACCAACAGATTTCCATTACTTCTGACAAACAGAACTTCAGGCGCTGCGATTCAGGTATTACCATTCCTCCTTTATCTCGATATTTGCTATTTTAGCACTAACAGTATCTGTTGACTGCTTATTTCAGGTTGTCCATATTCACTCTTACTAATTACATTAGCAAGAGCATCAATAACTGTTTCGATTTTGTCCTTTATCTTACTTGCTCGATTTTGTCTTAAATCTTTGCTTGCTTGTTTTTGTCACTACTAGTTGTAGGATTTATTCCCTTTAGTTAGTGTAGTTTTATCCGTTTCCTATTTTAGTGCCTTTAGTTGAAGATTATATTTCGGTAATTTCTTTTATTTGTAAATTTGTCCCTTGTTTTGGGGTAGTGCTTGTGTAGTGTCCCTTATATTATAGTGGCTTTGGTAAATGATGATAGGTTAAGTTCTTGTCCATAAGAGGTGGGGGTCATTCTGAGGGATTGGGTGTGGGAGGTAGGAGAGGGGATAAAGAGGGTGATGGGGGGAGGG